GTTGTTCATTGGAAGTCTCCGGCCTTCGATGGCACTTATTTTTATGGTGTAATAAAAAGTCGTTTGTCTTTTAAGCACTTCAAATAATCACTAGTATAGTATGAGCCGTTGGGCTAATGGAAGTTTTGGGAGACTAAAAAATCTTGGAAACACATTGGTGTCCAGGCTCACCATAATTCAACGGTCAAAATGGCGAATTTGGCTTTCAATGTGAATGTGAGATGGAACGTTCTTATCGCCCTGCTGGTTATTTTCTCTGTTGTATTTTTCCTGTATTATTCTTCTCCTTGGAAGACTTGGGCTAAGTTGAAAGCTAAAGCACAGGTAGAAGAGAGTGCTGTTGTCAAATATTTTATGTGGAACACAAAGGATCGAATATACTACAAAGAAGTCGTACCTCGGGTATCAGAAAACACCCGATTCACAGTAATACTGCTGCATGGACAGATGTTCACGTCCGAAAATTGGGATAACATCGGAACTTTGAAGGCGTTAGCTGCTAAAGGTTACAAAGCTATCGCTGTGGATTTGCCAGGACACGGTCACTCAGAATCTGTAAAGGCACCTTCAGATGAGGACGAAAAAATAAATTTTGTGTCCAGTTTGATAGAGAAGCTTCATGCAGACAGGCCAGTTTTAGTGGCACCTTCGATGAGCGGTTCGTACGTGTTGCCGGCGTTAATGGACGGAGACCTCAGAAAAAGTTTAAGAGGCTTTATTTCAGTGGCACCAGGAGCTGTTGCTAAGTTTAAAGGGGAAGAGCTTAAGCGGCTGAATCTTCCAACTCTGATAGTATATGGCGAGTTGGACAAACACTTTACACCGTTTGTTCCATTAATGAAGAACATTCCTGAAAGTGAAGTTTTTATGATGAAGAATGCAAAGCATTCATGTTACCTTGACTACCCAGAGGAATTCAATGCAAGGGTGATTGTATTTCTAGACAAGCTGTAGAATCGGACGAGAAGATGAGAGTTGATGTTCTGTAAGGGGGGCATCTTGAAGTGACAGGGTTGATCGTTGAAAATTTTGAAAGTAGTGTATCCTAGCAGTAGTTTGACCAAGCACTGGTTTATAACTGAATAAGCTTCAGTCTCTAGATAGGTATGCCAATGCCAGAGGTGCCACATATCTGATAAAGGAAGAATGCTCGAAACTCTTACACAAATTCTTAAACTGCTTTCGGCACCCCTTTCAAATCAATGATTTTTCTGATGTTCGGCTTGTTCTTGCTGGGGACTAACATGGCATTAAGTGGACTGTTGCAAAGGAAGCTGTCTTTTAAATTCATTGAGAAGTGATAGATTGCTTCATACCCCCCCTCCCCTCAATATTTTTGTTTCATTCAAATAGTAGGCACACCAGAGGACTAAATCCTAAGAAGCAGTTGCAGGTTCCCTGGTGTCAGTTACCTTAACCCTTTCATTCCCAAGATCTTGTTAGTAATTCTCCTTACTGTCTGCTATACATTCTTTTGATGTTAGTGGGAGAATTTGTTATTGGATAAACTATTAATCTCTTTATTCTCATCATGTCTACTCAATGATCAATTAGAAGTTAATTTAGGTATATAAACCTCTTAAAATTCAGAAAAGCTGATGATTTTAGCATTGATAAAGAGCATTAGAATCAGGCAATATATTAGATAAACCAGTGACAGATCCAACAAAATTATGAACACAACCAAACTATGCCAAGGAATTGTAATACTGTCTACATTGTATATCACCATTTTTGAATACCCACCTCTACTGCTAACACTGATTACTATTTCAGTTATATTTATAAACTCATCTTACAAGAATTGTACAGACAAGAGTAAGATTAAAGAGAGTAAGATTTTCACTTCTTTACCCCTTGGAATTTTCCTATGCCTGGCTTGCATTGGCAAACTGACATCAATTGTTAGCTAACTTGCATTGCCAAGGCTCAGCAATAACTTGTTTCTTGCCAAGCCAACCAACTCTTTTCAAGAAACAAATTACTTTGTTCAGAAACTAGAATTATAGATGCTGGAAATATAGGGGTGCCTGTTTTTGGAGCATTTACCAATGTCAAATGTAGTTACAAAACATTGAAAAAACATAAAATCATCAAAATGCTCAGTTTATTCTTAATTAAAATACATACTTCAAGGAGGATGAAATTAACATGTTAATGAAAATGTGCTTGGACTATAAAAGATTCTTTTCAACAACTTCATCAGGTTCACTTACATGAAAACAAAATAAAGGCACTTTTAAATGCGCTCAAATTAATGCACAGCAAAGAAGTAAAATTTTAAATAAAATGGTAGCTTGCTCAGACACTAAGTACTTACACCAATAATTATAGTATGTTTTCTAAATATTGATGATTAAAAAAAACTGGAAAGTGAAATTGACTGTAGGTTACTCAAAATAAATGAGAAGATACTTAAGTTTCATTTTTGCTCTCCATTGTGACTCCCTTTAAAATTAACAATTTCATTTACATCCTGTTCTGCAACTTAAGACAAGCTCTTGCCTAAGGCACTCATCTAGCTAAGCCAAGTGTACTTAAAATGTTTTAAAAGTTTACAATAGCTTTTAACACTGTAAAAAAAAATACGCCTTGTTAATTTACTTCAGTTTTGTTTGTCTCCATTTGTTTGAAAAGTTCATCTGCATCTTCACTCGTTTTTACTCTAATTAAATATGTTGCTGGTTTGCTGTTGTCTCCTTCAGCAGGCTTAGAGAAGAGTGGAGGATTTGGAACTGATAATAACATTAGATTGTTCTTTCCTGATCTAGTAATGGGTGTGTTTTCTGCCAGATAGACGTTCAACACAATTTTCCCAAGAGCTGTATCATTCCGCACCAGCACTTGAGTTTTTCCTTCAAGTTTCTTCAAGTTCAGCATTCCAATTCCCAGTTCAACCCAAGATGATCCACGCTTAAAAAATAGTTTGCACCTGATGGAATGAAAAGCTCCTTCTTCAGCCACCACAACACTGAAATAAAATGTTAAAAAAAAAATAACTCATTATTAATCAGGGGTAATGTCTGTATGATGAAATCCACATTTAGATAAACAATATATATCAACAAAACAAAAACCTTCACTACTCAAAAGAAACTTGTATAAAACAGATATGGTATGATAAATATGCATTATTGGCCATGCAAGAGGTAAAGGTGGCTGGATATTGGCCTGGTTCTTTTTTTTTTGTCTCAGTCCATTGAAAGATGAAACAATTGAAAAAATCCGAGCCCCAGATGGGACTTGAACCCACGACCCTCCGTGATCTAGTCGGATGCTCTAACCACTGAGCTACTGGAGACTCTATGTCAACTTGTGGGCCTAGACTGGAACCGCATTGCGCGGCTACACAGCCAAGTATTGGTTAGCACCTGTGAAACTCACTAACAGCATCACGCTGTCACATTAAAGCATATCAAGATGCGGCCAACCAACCTCCAAAGTGAGCATGTAAAGATGAAACAATCAGTCCATTGAGGCAAAAAAAAAAAAGCAGGCTAAAATTCCGTCATCTTGACTGAACATGCTTAGTCAATAAAGGATTTATTATATATATAAAAAAAAGATTTCACCTTATTAAGAATTGAGAATGACTTTTTTATTTAGTGAGACAAGACAGGAGGTCAATTGTTTTTGGAGCACAAAGCCATTTATGTTTTCTTTATTGCCAATGTCCTACTGCTTTTTCCAACTCCATCACTGACGTTGTTGAAAAATTATGAACTTTTTCTGTAAGTTCCCTAGTACTTGTGCAGGACTAAATCTGGTAATCCCAAGCAGGCAGGATGGGCCCATCTTCCCTGATTGGGTAGCCAATCAGAACACAGGATTTTCCTCATGTAGAGGTGGATTTCTTCTGGAATATTCAAGCTCACAGAATGAGTGGGATATTGAGTTAAACATAATTATGTAAAACACCAAAGGCCTTTACTGACAAGAAAAGTCATCTTTATCACTTGATTGAGAATGGTGAACATTCATCAACCTGAGAGTGTCAAGAGAGGAGAGTGACATGTCAGCAGTGGATAGGTAATATTAAACACACATTAAAACTTATTGCAATTTTATACATTTGCAATATAGGATTTCTCAGGGCCGGATATCCTGGTTAAATACCACAATTATTCTTGTAACCATCTATACCAAATCACACACTTAATGACTCTCTTGGAGTCCCATTAGGGTTTCATAGTATCATGGGAAACACCAGCCTGTCACCAAACAGACAAAAAAACACCTTGTGAAAAGAAGAACATTGCCAGGACAAAGAAAGAAAAAAATTTTACTTCACTCTGAGTGAAAAAAAAAAAGAAAAGAAAGATGTTTATCCTCTGCGGTTTATGATATATGGCTGGCTATCCTCAGGCTGGGGATGCACAATAATAACCACCTTTTTGGTTTAGGAACTTCCTCCTCAGCATTTTCTTCTCCTGATGTTCCAGGCTGACTCTCTGCACCACTTGTCTCTGAGCTTGGAGCTTCTACAGTTAAACATCAGAAAACCTCTAGAGTTAGTTACACAATAACATTGGCATTGTCAAGAGGGTAGACAGCTCTCAGCCAACTAAAATACTTCTGAACTAAAGCAATCTTGAGTCCCCAAGGTAAAGGATATATTCATGCACATGCCTGAATAAACGCACATGGAGCAGAGGAGTTCAAATTTGATTTCCAGTAAATCAATTGCAGCTCCGACGAAGGGCTAACGCTCAAAACATCAGCTTTTGTAATCGTTACGGTGGCCAATTTACCATTTCAACTTTGTTGATATATCCAAATTGCAGTAAGACTTTATCTTATTTATTGACTTTTGATTTATACAATTCCAATGAGATCCTGCTCAAATCTAATCTGTGCCAATGATGAACAGGATAAAGGATCACTGTTGGCTACAGAGTGAAATGAATCGTATATGTGCACGATCCTTCGCAGTAAAGCACTATTTAAGCAATAGTGAAAATCAGACCTGAAAAAAATTCAGGCCTGTACGGGATTCGAACCACTGACCTCTTCGATACTAGTGCAGCGCTCTACCAATTGAGCTAACAAGCCAACTGGGAGCAGGCCATCAAGTTGTTTGGTGAAGCAGAAGAGATAGTGACTAATTAAAAAAGCATTTATAGATCCCCTGTTCCCTCCTTATTGCACAAATCCATTGTAAAAAGATTAAGTAAAAGAAATCACACTCACCTGTATTTAAAGGCTTTACATTGTCTTCTTGTGTTTCCAGTGATGTTTGGGAGGGAGGAGTACTAAATAATGAAAATGAACTTGTTGCAGGTTGAGAGGATGTGCTGAATGTCACTGATTTAGTTGATGATGAATTTGCCACAGCTGTTGTTGAATTTGAAAACTTTGAGTCAATGTTCTTCATGTGTTGCTTATAATCATCAAAAATTGGAGATAAATCAACATAAGGATTTGTGGTAATGTGCTTTTGAATCCAGGCGACAACGCTTTCATTGAGGGCCTTAAGATTATCCTCATAAGAGCTCCCCTGAGCTTTTGACTCCTTGGATGAATTAGATTTGAAGCCATTTTCATTGCTGGATGAAGCTTCAGTTGTTGGCTTGTTTAAACCATTGAACATGTTTTTGGGACCTGATGCCAGACTGAAGAATCCTGCCAGCGGTTTGGTGGAGGGTGTGCTTGTTCCAAAAGCTGTAGCATTGTTATTTAAACTGCCAAAACCAGAGAATCCTTGGAAAACCCCTCCACCCTGAATGAAACAAGAACAATACATTTTTGTCCCTTTGGCACAATGACCATGGTTGAGAGATCACTCTCAGGGTAAACAGCATGTTAAGAAAACAAATTTGATAAAGGGAGCAGGGTATCAGCTTAACTTGCTGCAGGTAATGACCAGCTATAACCTAACAACACAATTGTTACAATCACCTACTCTGAATAACGAGCCTCCTGTTCCTTGTGGCTCAGTTTTCTGCATGGAAGCATGACATATATCTTATTAAAAAGACCGAGGGCCGATATTCTTCCAGTACGGTCCTGAGCAAGCTTGGTTAATCAGAGATTTATTATATGACTGAAGTTCAAAGGGACACAAGTGCGGTATCATTCGCGACCATTCAGGACAGTGCCCGGTCCAATACTGAGAGAATATTGACCAGCAATAGAGCATTTTGATTGGTTGATTTTAGTTATTGGCCCTCTGAATGCCCGAGTCGTGTAATAAAGTCCTGTTACTCAAAATCTTTTTGATAACACTCTTTTTGCACTACAATTTATTGTTCTGGACTAACTTAAGTATACCTTTCAGGACCACTTTCAATCCATGCACAGACTGTCCTCTAATTCAGTAAAGAGTTCAGCAGAGACACTCAGAAAAATCTACTGTTAAAAGACCAAGTACCTGACTATCTGTGGTGTTCACACGTCGTTTAGCCTTGATTATTCTGATGACAAAACAATGATAAGGACCAATGTAAAATTAAGTGTATATTGACATACCGCAAGCTTGGGTAAAAACAGCTTTCACTAGCCTGTTTTACAACTTAAACGCTAACATCAGTTTACTCATTCTCTAGAACTATTGTTCTCTGTACATTTCCAAAGGTGCTGACAAGGATAATTTTTTTCAAATCAAGAGTTTCTTCCGTTGAAAATTGTTTCCTTTATTCTCATGACCTTAATGTGTGATTCAGGGGTGATATTGTAAGGAGAAATTAGATGCTGGTCACTCCTAAGGGTCCAAGGTTATGGACAAGCAACAAGTTGGTGAGTGGTACAACACGACATGAAGGAAAAACTGACGTACATACAACAACAAAAATTATGGGCCGCTACTACACAACACAAGATGATATGTTATATTTACTCACTTTCTTTTGCTCAAATCCTCAGAAGTTGCAACTTTGAAATGACCAACCTGTGAAATAACCAACGTTTAAAATGAGCGTGCTTTTGTAATTTGACCTTCTTTGAGTGGTTAGGAAATTACGCGCCACGCTGGGAGCAAATCTCCATTTGAAATCGGTCCTTGGGCCAAAATAACAAACCTAAGCAATGAGAAATGTTAAAATAAACGGCTAAACTTCAGAATGCCCGGCCACTTCATTCTTCAAAGCCTCCCGACACATGTAAATGATGTGGACGGGTATTCTGAAGTTGTTCCAAATAAACATAGAAATGTAAAATAAAATAATCACTTCTTCTTCATCCTCTTCTTGGTCCCAGTTATCTTGAGTAAGCTCTTTATCCGCGCCTCTCTTCGCCATTTTGGTGGGCACCACACATGCGCATTTTGGCCGCAGTGAGAAGCACCCTTCATCCGGGATCTTGCTAGTACGCTCTCTCGCTTCTGTACGTATTTGGTCATTTCAGTTCCCTTCAGAGACCCGTGGACGGTACCCCTTAGCCGTTCAACCTTCCATAAATACCGAGAAATCCCCGCAAACAACGGCCCTCGCTGCTTGATGGAGTTGGAGAAATTGCAGTCGCAGTTGAAAAGCCAACTTCAGCAACACCAGGTAGGTTATTTTCCATTCGGAAGTGCGATTGACAAACTATGTCCACAAGTGTTTTGCATGCAGATTAGGTAGGCAAAAGGTTTTTGCGATTTTCTAACTACCCGAATGCTCTTTTACGTCGGGCTTTTTTCGGCCGTAGGTTCGAACAGGAAATATTATGGTAGTTTGTATTACAGCATTTTAGTTCTAGAATGATTATTCTGCCGGCGAAACGAATTCGCGAATTTCTTCGAACTCGAACGAGCGACACGGTACATATTTAATCTATTTTGCTGTGTATGCCTCCCCATTAGTTCACTTGAACTTCTGGTAAATGCATAAATTGTGGCGGTCAGTTCGAGTTTCGCTCTTGGCTGTGATTTAACTGATGTTTTCTCTCAATTTTTGTAGATTCTTATTCATCAAATTAAGACAGATCCACAGGTAAAATATATTTTCGCTTCTTTTGAACAGAATGTTTCAGTGTGTTGGGTTTCAATTGTTTTCCGTCGACGCAGTTTTTGAGAAATATTTTCAAACACGGATATCTCTATTTAATAGAATCCCGACCTTCAGAAAAAGTTACAGAGTCTTCAAGCTCATATCACAAGTTTAAGCGAACAACAGGTAGGTTAATGGAGAAGAAGAGAGTTTATTCAGAGGTAAGGAGAGGCATGAAAAATCACATGCAAATGTAGGAAGGAGATTTTGCTCTGAGACATAGAGGGTGGTGAAAAATTAAAATGCAGGGTCTTCATGCTCATAGGAGCCAATCACAAACCGACAAAGTCCCGTGGGACTTGCTACAGGTGTGGGCAAAACGAAGGAAAATTGTTTTGCCTTGAAGTCTAGTGATATTGTTTTTTTCTCTTTTTTTACTCTCGATTTCGCAGAACGCTGGAATTAAAATATTAAACGAATCGCGTTTTATTCTTTCGCTGCGGTACGATTTAACGGCGTTCATGATCTTTGTTAATCATTGCTTTGATAGAACCGGAAGTGAGATCATACATTTTGGTACTTTCGTATCTGTGAAGTGTCAACTTGAGAGACGTTTTATGCATTTGTTAAAAATTTATTTTGTTCCTTTTTGGAGCCTCTATTGCTTTTATCTCTTGCCTCTACTTCATAAGAAGTTTAAAGATAGCACTGATTATAGTAAACATGTAAACTCATTCAGATGTTCTTGCTTCAAAAAATATAATTGATTTCATGTGATAAGAATAAGACTTTGATCAAGAATTAATTTGGGAGAGATGTGTGTTGTCTAGGAGGGCAAAGGAAAGAAATAAGGAAGGAAGGAAAAATGAGGTGGTTCACTTGAAAAGTTCTTATATTTTTCATTTTTCTTTTGCATGACACTAGTTGATATTGTTCTGGTGCATTTTGGGAAGATTGTTGATGCTTGTTTTGCAGAGTCATGTTGTGAAGCAGTTGAGGCAAGAATTAATGAACAAAGCAGAATTTAGAGGAGAGGTGAGTTGATACAAATGACTTAGTATAATTTTCATTTTTTTTCCTTGTCAAAAAAGCTTCTACATGTATTTTGAATTTTTGAAATACCTTACACACCAGACCATTTAATTAAAGTATGCAGATTTTTGAGCTGATTATTTTTTCCATATATATATTTTTCGAGTCTAGTTATCCTCAAATATTGAAAGCAACTTTTTTAAACAAGAAGGGTGTATGGTTCAGCTAATTTTTATGGATACATAATTTTTTAATTGAAAACTTTTTGACCAAATGGCATTCAATGTCTGGTTGTAATTCTCACAATGAATGCTTGTAGTCATTTGCAATTCTTTCTGTCACTTACCAATTGTAGGAAAATAATGTAAAATCACCATTAAGTGATAACCATTCAAACAACATCACGTCACCTGACAATAAGGAAGCAGTATTTGCATCAAGTAAACCTCTGGTCAAAATAGAGCCATCTGTTAAAATGGAGATGTCAATCAAGACAGAACCACAGGATATTAAACCCTTTAAGATTACATCTCAGCAAAAGCCGCTGCCAATCCAGCTTCCAAGAATAAAGCCAAAACCACCACCCGTGGTTCTTGTCACTCCCCAGGTGATTATGTTTACAACTTTATTAAAAACATAAAAACATTGCTCTGGTTTTTATAAAATGTGGTATAAGTGGGTAGTTTAGAATGGCAGGCTGTTACTTTTCAAGGTACAGACGGCCTCCCATTCTCAGTGAGATTCAGGATCCAGGCTCAACTCCAATTTTTCATAGCTTTCAGGTGGGGAGCCAGCTCATTATAAGTGGTCTGATCTTCCTGCCATCTGGTTTCTATTGAAACCACATAATTGTTAGATTTGAGATTTAGAGATAATATCATAATGGTAAAATGGCCTATGTCAAACCCATGATAAGAAGTACTTGTAGGTTCAAGATTGGACTAATTGTGTTCTCTGCTTTGCATTGTTGAGCCAGACAATTATCTCTCATGATGCCTTCCTGTGCCTTAATAAGGCTGGTTGATTTAGAGGTGGCTAGCACTTGTTGGAGATGGCAAGATGACTTTAGCCTAGATTTTTCTAAACTAATAGTATGATTTGACTTGAATCTTCTAAAGGGTTTATGAGCTATTCGCTCATAAGGGTTTATGTCCTATTCCCTAAACCCCTAAAGGGTTTATGTCCTATTTGCTCCCACGAAGGGCTAATGCCCAAAACGTCAGCTTTTGTAATCGTTATGGTGGCCAATTTACCATTTCAACTTTGTTGATATATCCAAATTATTTCGTTACTCCCACCGACGCAGCCCCAAACAGTTTCTTTCAAAACTATCAGCCTTTATCGGTTTATGAGCTTAGGCCTGTTTACCATATGATTGCCCAGATTATTGCAATTAAATCACATTCCAGGCAGTCATGTCAAAACCAACCTTAAACTCATACCCAGTTTTATCTGGACAATCAAGGTTGTTAGTTGTGTATTTTTTAGGATGATCATGGCAATTAGATGATTTTTTGTGTACTTAATTATTGTTGATTCCTCTTTTTATTTGATGAATTTTAGACTATTGCTGGTGTACAGATGGGCCCAATGTTTTCTCCTGTCCATCCTCAGTCATCAAGGAAAGGTTCTGTCAACATTCCCACACCTTATCAACAGAATAACAGAGCTCCTCAGAGTCCATTCAGACATGGGGGACGAACATTCAGTACTCAACATCTTCAGCCAATACTGCCACGTCCCACTCCTCAAAGCAATTCGTTACCAATTCAGGACACTAGCAAACAAGCAATAAAGACTATTGAGCCCAAGGTATAAGATTCGTATCAGAGTAGCTCCATCACCATTCATTATCAATGCTCCTGTTTTTTTCCTTCCTTGTTTAAAGGTTTTTTCTCAACTTTATGTTGACCTACGACCTATCCATGCTAAAAGTGTGTGATGTTGTACTAGGACAAAGTCATTCCCTTCATTTTGATCAATAATTTTCCATAGTTCATCCCAAATATGCTTACTATTGTGAATTTTGTTAGTTATCCTGCTTGGACATAATATCCCTTTTAGCTTGTTGGAAATTAGATATGATTTCTAATTGTTGATCTATCATATTTTTTTATGTGAATCTGCAAGTTCTTAGCATTGCTTGCTTTTTTTTCCTTGTCAATACAGAAAATGGAGTTTATGGCAGCTCTTGGTCTTATTACACCACAGACATTAATTGGTAAGAGCTTTGAATATCAATTTTCAACCCTTTAACCCATTAATGGCCGCAGCTTTTGTGAAAAACTGTGTTTTGAAGCTAGTCGAGCAGATTTCAGGTCACTGTTGTGGTTTTAAAAGCTCAAACTTACCAAAAACCCATTGAGAGCTTGTACAGTCGACAGCCTTTCGATCCAAATGCAAAATGGCAGCCTCAAAATCTCGGGCACGCACAGAAAGCAAAATTTCAAGATGCCCCACTTACGACTTTTATTTTTCTCTCTTTCTCCTGCCCTTTTTTTCCCCTCTCCTTGCCTGAAGTTTCTCCTCACTTGTTGGAAATTTAGTAGGCTTCATTTTGGTGTAGAGATTTTTTCGGAAACTACTCATTATTTTCAAACCACATGCTCAGAAAGGTAGGTGGGTAATGGAACAAGATTTTCGTGCAGATTTTCAGGTCAAAGTTACGTGGATTTTTGGCTATTTCTCCAATCTCCTTCACTCAATTGTGCTCATTCTGGTATTGTTTGTAAGATATTTTCAACCTGTTCAAGTACGTGCTCAAAGTCGTGCTCCAGGGTTAAAAGTGATGACATCACAAGGCGTAGAAAGGGTGTGGGTCCACATGGGCGCATACGGGTGCACTGGACGTCAATAGGTTAACTCCCAAGATCTGATTGTTAATTCTTCCCTCTAACTGCTTCATATTTCCTTGTAAATTAGTTATAAGAATTTTGGTGTTTGGTTGGGATAACAACTTCTACCTGATAAGTTTGAGTATTCTCGTTACCTGTTTGCTGGATAATGTATCAATATTAGAAGGATAATTTTCATGTTAATCACTTCTATGAGTTAAGGGGTTAAAGATGTTTTCCTCCAGATAAGATAAAGAAGCTTACTTATCACATACTTGTGTCTTTTTTGGCATCTAGTTAAATTAATTTGATAGTTTTTCTTTACTTTGTGGTACTTTGCTTCAAGTTACCACTTTCTCTTGTTTTTCGGTGTAAACAAATGTTATACAGGTGGTCCATTTATTTTCAACTTATGTACAGAAGAATTCTTTATTCTCTGAGAGAAAAAAATTAGTTTACAAATTGAAAATAATTGGCACAATATCCCTTTGGTTATGCTTCAAGAGTAAAGGACATTATGGCTGAATTAATTTATGCAAATATCAATAAAATCTAGAGCACAATACATTAAAAGTTACAATATTGTCCTTATTTTGTCATGCAATATAAGTAGTAATTTGTCAGTATTGATGTCCAACAAAGGATTCAAAATTCCTTGTGGTCTGAATACTTTTGAGAGGCATTTGGCTATTGGTGCTTGGATCCTTTGAATACCTCAATGGAAGTGAAGCATAAAGGATAATAATTGCTTGGTTTGAGGGCAGACAAAGTTTTTGTGGAATATTATTGGTGAATGTGCTTTTCATTTTGTATTTCTACAGATAAACTAAGGTTGGCCAGATTTTTCCTCTTTTCATTAACATTCCAATGGCTTTTTAATTTCTCTCTATGAATTAATTCACAAACATACAGTGTAGTTGTCGTTAGACAAAATATTGCTTCACTTTTGTGTTGAAATGGCTGCATGTTTTGATTTTCGTGAAAATAGAATGTCATGTGCCATGTTAGGATGTTAGCTTTATTGCTGAATGATCATAGGAAGTTATTATGCTTCATAACACAATGTTGCCACTGGGTTGTTGAGAGAGAGGAAGTAATTGAATGTTTCATTTTCAGGGAAACATTATACTCTTTCCTGTTTTCAGTTAAGCTTGCATGATAACAAGCTGTTGCTTAAGTCACAAATTCAAAGATGTTGATACATTATAATGCTATTGGAACAGGGAATCTGTAATGTAGATTATAATTAATCTGCCTTTGACTAGAGATTGAGCGAGCTGTTAAAGGTGCCAGAACTGTGATATTGATGTCTTTAAACCAATAAATTTATTGCACAATGTTATGAAAATCCTACTTTGTGTGGGAAGCATTACATGCTTGCTTCAATTAGTTTATTTTCATTTGTTGTTGTGGTTAATTTCCAACAGAAATTCAGCTCAAGAGACAAGAGCGAAAAAGAAGGAGTACTTGCATTTCTCCACAGAATGCACTAGATATAGACCCCGAGGTGAGTTGTGTTAGTTCACAGAGTCATTGTGATTCTAATGATCAGTTTATAAGCTACAAACTCCTCCAAATACATTGATTTATGTTGTGGTATAATGTACCCACTAGGGTAGTTATTGATGATTAATGATTTTGAAAACTTTTGAATTAGGATGTTTTTGTCATTCACAACTGCAAAGTGTTGTACAAAGCATATTCTAAAAGGATGTCTGGTTTTGTCATGAGGGAGGAATAAAGAAAAAAGTCTTGATTCCTAGCTCATTAGTAGAGGAACCTCAGACCTTTGCATTCTGCACTTGGATTTATATACTTTTGCTTTATGTACCAGAGAATGATCGATTTTTTTATCCCTCCCAGCCTAAACGAATAAAGAAGATAACAATGTTACCAGTAAAAAGAGGCAGAGGCCGTCCTCCCAAGTTCAACAGTGCACCAAACTCGCCAAAACCTACTTCACCTGTCCCTAATGGTTTTGCTGAAAATGGGAAGCACAAAAAATTTAAATATAAGCGTTTTGTTACCATGGATTCTCCAGTTGACGAGGTAATGTATTTTTTATCTTTAGCAGTTTTTATTAACACGATAATGAACAATTTAGGTCAGGTTTAAATTTGTTGATGGCCAACGATTCCAGACTGATTTCCTGCAACATTCAACTTCCATAATGTAGAAATCTACAAAGGGTGGTAAGAATTAAGTCTGCATTTTGGTTTGTCCTTTAAAAAAGTGCTTGCCTGAGAGGTATTTTACTTTGCCAAAACTTTTTTGTGGCAATGTTTAAATGTAACCATTTTGTTGACTGACTTGCATCTATTATTTTGTGCTTTTCTTCTCAATTATAGTAATCCTAAATTGGTTAGGCAGCAGAGGTTATTGATAAAAATTAATATTAAGTGTTTGCTTACAACAAGACTTGATTCATGTAATGAGTATATTTTGAAATGCTTAAAAGATGTTTGCCCTAGTTGCATATGAAGAAAATTTAAACATTTACACTTTTAATTGGTAATTTTTTAAGGGTACAATTGTGTAACAATGAATATTTCAAGTTTGCAGTGTATACACATTTTGCTGCACTAGCTCATTAAATGAAAGAGTCAAAGATAAAATGAATGAGTTGAGCAATCAGTTGGTCAAGTTACTAATCAGACAATCAATATTTACTTGCCCCCATTAATTAATTCTTATTTCATTTTGTCTGTAGGATGATAATCATGATGAAGTGTGTGCCATTTGCAAAGAGAGCGGAGAATTGCTGCTTTGTGACACTTGTAATTTAGTTTATCATATGAGCTGTCTTGATCCTCCACTCTCCTCCGTTCCTCCTGGCATGTGGCTTTGTCCCAAGTGTCGGGTGAGGATCACATTTCTTCTAAATCATATTTTTTGGTTGGTTTGAAATATTTCCTTTTTGTGTTCCAGTTTGATGTATGCCCTGATATTTTTAGGGGTAATTAGGTATTACAGTTAAATAAAAAGCCCTTACCATCTGTAATCAGCAACTTAATATCCAGAGAGCAATTAAACTCCCTGGGAAAATTTTATGTGCAGACATCCAACAGTGATGCTGACTAAAATGTGTGTTTGTTGTTATTTTAGGAGAGAGTCAAAGAGGATGAACCCATGCCTTGGCCTGGTACTTTAGCTGTTGTACATTCTTACTTGGCTCACAAGACAGGTAAAAGGAATATTCACCAGCAAAGTTAACTATTATACTAGGATTATTAATGGAGTGAGGCTTGGAAAAAGTTTGTTGACAGGGTTTTGATTGCAAAATAACAATGTTGTCACTGCCAACCTTCCTCACTTCCAATGGTAACCCAATCTCAAAGCACTATGTCATTATCCATGGGAAGTGAAAGCCTGGGAATGGAGGCAGTCTCTTGTAACATCAACATGATTCCAATATCAAATGTGGTTGTCAAACTTCACCTGGCCCTCACCTACTCAACTTAAAATTATTGTATGCATTTTTAGTTATCAGCCAAACAGAAATGAGTGAAGTCTACTTACATTTAGAATTTTTGCCCAGAGTAAAGTAATAATTATTCATGATCAATCCATATTGATATCATCATTTTACTCTTATTTAGCAAAAGAAGAAGAAAAGAATAAACTCCTCAAAAGAAGTGAAGAGTTGAAAGCAGAGAGAGTTGAACTAGAGGCCAAAGCGAAGCAGCTCAGTAATGCAATAATGGTAAGGTTATTTTTGTGAACTCCCTCATGTGGATTGGAACTATGGAACCAAAACTTTTTTTTTAACTTACAGCAGTAGGAAGAACTTTATTTTAAAAATGAACCTTGTTTTCAGTGTTGCTGTCTGTTACTGTTTCCTGTTGGCTGTTTTTTGTTTGTTTGTTTTTTTTTTTTTTGGCAAGGAGGGGGAAAATTTTTTGCATCCACTTTAAAAAAAAATAATGGCCTAAGACCAAGGAAACAGGTATTGTCGGGTTCACGGGCAAAACACTTTTTTCCAAATTATGTAATAGTGAAGTTTGTCTCAGTTGAAAATCTAAGCCACTTAATGTTCTGTGAAAGTGCTGGTTGCAACTATAACTAAGTTTTGATTCAGCTCAATAAACAGCCACAGCAAAAATACCTTTATTGGTATTTGGTATTAACATCAGTTGCCACTACTAATGACAGTTTTAATCAAGACTAACCTTAATTGAACTTTCAGATATCACATTCAAATGTTATCCCTTGTTGCCAACCATTTAATATAATACAAATCAAAGGGACAAGTAAAATGGACTGATTTTTAAAATCATTTTTTTTTTTTTGTTTGCATTTAGGAACAGATGCAGGCCAAGAGTGAACTATCAGCCAGCAACAAATCAGCACAGAATTCAGTTGATAGATTAATTAAATTTATTGAAGTGGTTCAGAGTTTATGACAAGAATTAGGGTTTCTCTTGAATTACCTTGAGAATATTTATTGAAACCATTGTTGTCAAATTGGTTCGTTAATGTTAATTGTTTATCAGAAGATATTTGCTACAAAATGTCCGATTGTATGAACTATTTTTTGGGTTGCGCATATGTTTCAGTGCGTTTTGTAAGCGTTGTAGATAATAATATACATAATTAACAGAGAAGATTGTTGCGATTTGTAATAGAAAAGACAAGCACAGATACTGTTGGCAAAAGTTATAAAAGTGAATAGTGATAACTGGCAGAAGACTGTTTTCATTAAATTATTTACCTTGGTTTTTACTGTTAACCCTTAACACTATTAAGCATTTTTTCCATACTATTCTCTGTTTTCTCGGGTGGCAAAAAAAGAAAATTTGACTAACAATCAATAGCTTCTTTAGGTGCAAAATTCTGATGGCACATTGAATTGGAGTCATTATAAAATCAAACTATATTTTCAAATGAGGAAGAAATTATATCCTAAACTGTCATTCAACTAGAAGTGTCCCGAGAGTTTGAAGGGGGGGGGGGGCAACAATTTGGCTTTGTTTCAATTATTTAGATCAGGCCCATTAAACTTGGAGACTTCAAGTTGTGTATCAGAAAACTTCTTATTCATCAAGGTAGAAACAAATGGACTGCAATTTGACTTCGCTAGCAGTTCTTTGAATTACAGCCTAAATAACATGTTCCGTTTGAGTCCAACAGTTGGCAAGCCACTTCCTCACTGGGAGGGAAGGAAATGGTTAATAATTAGTTCTTATTAACCGAGCGGGAGGTCTGTATGGGAGAATCTTGACCAAGGTTGCCAGTACAGACCGAATGCAGTGAGGTCTGTACCAGCGACCAAGGTCAAGATTCTTCACTACAGACCGACCTAGCTTGGTTAATATGTTTATTATATGGCTGTGTCTTTATATGCCAATTTTTTATATTCTTTGCACCTTTTTTTTTCTAGACCTGTCTAGATGCTGGTCTAAATGGGAAAATCTAGACCGCTTTCAATATTGATTTCAGCCAATCAAATTCAGTAATTCGGTAGTTCCCAGTCCTTGTGAGACACAGCCATATAATAAGAATTAATTATTAACCGAGCGGGAGGTCTGTATGGGAGAATCTTGACCAAGGTCGCCAGTACAGACCGAACGCAGTGAGGTCTGTACCAGCGACCAAGGTCAAGATTCTTCCATACAGACCGACCTAGCTCGGTTAATAAGATGGCTGTGTCTAAAATGCCAATTTTTTATTTTGTTTTTCTAGACTGGTCTAGATGGGAAAATCTAGACCACTTTCAATATTGATCTCAGCCCATCAAATTAGTAAATTCGGTAGTCCCCAGTCCTTATGAGACACAGCCATATAATAAGAGGTCATGAGGTCATACCAAATGTTCTGTTAAATTTGAATTCAGATATCTGGACTCAGCTAAAGGAAGTTAAAATTTACAAGCCTCGACAGGACTTTTTTTCTGAGGTACTCAATCTGTGTCACTTTAAAACATGATTAGTAACTTAGAAAATTGTTGCATCACGAAATATGCGAAACACCTATTGTTCCGGTGTTCCTTAGACTTGCCAGTCCTTCCCAATACAATTTTTGCAATCTCCATGGTAACCATCGTTCGAGAGACTTCATTACCTCAACAAATTTTAAGATGGCGTTTTCTCCTCGATCTAACACAACTTTTGGGCTTCCGCCAAGAAAGGAGTCTCCTTTAGAACTTGCATTTGACTTGAACAGCTTCGTCCGTCAAGCTCCCCACGATGAAAGAGACAAACCACTAAACACTGCTCAACAAAGATTGTGGCTTGACATCACTCATCTAGATACAACACAGTTGGAACAAATCGACGATGATTACAACAGCAACAAGTGGAAGAATTTCAAATTCGTTCGTCCAAAACATAGTGCTGATCGTGAAAGAGGACGAAAATCACTGCAATCCCCAGCTGGTATGATCGCAGATATTTATCCTTTGTCTGTTCCTAAACCATCGCGAATCGGTGATCATACCAACCAAAAATTCTTGCAAGAGGTGAAATTGCCCCCCACGATACAGAAAGTGGTTGGATGGCAGAAGCAAGGAAAGCAAGAGCTACAGTCAAGGACGTTAAAGGCACAAAGCGAATGTCGTGCACCGCCATTAGACTGGGAGGGAAATATTTTACCTCCAGCAAAATACAAAAGATATCCACGAATGGAAACTTTCCTGTCAGATGAATTTGTTCCGTTTTATTCGTCCTACAGTACACCATTTCCGAGGAAAATACACTCGATACGATCGAGTTCGCTTTACTCTCCGTCTCGACAAGGGATTCCATGGCATTATGGATTACGGGTAAAAAGGCCGCACTTGGAGTAGGAAGATTCGATGGAGGTGTTGACCTAGTGGATGGATTACGAAGGCATAATCGGCTCATGTGCGCCAAGATTCCATACAAGTGGTGATTGACAACAGGACGCAGAAAAACGCAAATAATGATTTGATTACAGCCATGGTTGTTACAGTGTGGACTAGGGAGACAGTCAATCCTCGTCTGACAGACTCCTCTCTGGGAATATGCTTCCTTTATTATCAGACAAAGAGGGGTTTTGCCCCCAGCGCCACAACTGACCGACAGATTGCTCCATTCACTTCAAGAAATCCATCACTTGTCACAGCAGATTAGTCAATTGCAAACGTATATCCACTATAAGGAATATTTTCATTTGAAAAGGGTGCTGTACGTACTGGCCAGTTTTGATTTTAAAATTAATTGGCTTAGCCATTCAGTTTGAAGTCATGCAGTCAAGTACATGTACATTGCCCCACACAGATGTGATGAACCCCACCTTGCCAACTACTTCTCCACTAAGGGTGGCTGTGTACAAGATTTCAACAACCCAGAGTTCTAGCTGTTCGTAACTCTTAAAGAAAATGCTTGTCTCCAATAGCAAGGCGATAATCTTGTCAGGGTTACAAAAGCCTTACAGAATGCCACTCTCTTGCATGATACTAATTTGGGGACAACTGCTCCTAGCTAGTCCTCTACACAATCATATTTTTGTACATCTTGGATTAGAATCCTGATTTTTTTCATGGGTGGAGAGGGAGTAGGACTCATGTACACAGTTATTATTACCCAGAACAGTTATTCCTCATCATAGAATGTCTCTCACTGATTGATAGACTTTGTGTGATGACTTAAAAATGGCTGTATAAAAGATGGGAAAGAAAATAGTTGCCTTAAAAATTGCAGTCAATCTCAAAATTACATAACATTCAATTATTTTTTGGCCTTAAAGCTTGGTATTTATCAACCCCACTATCAAGTGCATCATAACTTAAGATACAAGAAAATGACATCAGTCTAAAGAAGATTGGCAAAGTTTGTATTCAGAGCTTTTTTATATTCAGTATTTATCTTGTAAGAATAAATCTATCATCTTACAAAAACTATGTTGCAAGTAGTAAAAGTTTATTTTTCAATAAGAAGTGGTCAGAAATGGATGATTTCTCTTTCTTTCCTAAGAAGTCACCTTCGAGATTCTAAATTACTATTAGTTGGTCAAGTAATTATTTTGACACCAAATAACAAGATTGACCTGTACATAGGAAGTGAATGACATCAAACTCCAAAATGTTCTTTGATAGCTTCAATTAGATCAGCCTTTTTGGAGCCACATTTGATTCCAGCTGCTTTCACAAAGTCTTTAAGCACTGGGACAGTGAGCTTGGAAAGCTGAAAACAAAAAACACAAGTTATATTAATAGTTGTACTTTCAATTAATAGGATTTTAATACATTGAAGTTTCTAATCAAATCTCATGATAAATGTTTCAGACATTCATGATGCAAATAATACTAAGTTTCCTTAATGTATCTCAACTCTAGAGCCACACTGACTAAAGAGTGATACCAAACAAGATCAAATCAGTAAGCTACTTCCCAGCTCTTCACATTCACACTTTCAAAATAAGGCCAAAGGCAAACCCCTTTCTTGTGAAAATGAGTTCTGATTACATGATAATTTTATGAAAATAACACGAGTTTGTTTTTATGTTATTACATAAGCTATCAATCAAAGCCTTTTGCAATTAACCTCATTTGGAAACAGAGCTTTCAAGCATGGTAAATGCAATCTATTATAGTTAGGTATTAACCCTTTAAATATAATGTCCATACATTATCCAGCAAACAGGTCATGAGAAAACTCAAAGTTATCAGGTAAAAGTTTTTGTCCTGAGCAAACACCAAATTCTCATAACTTATTTACAAGGAAATGTGTAGCAGCTAGAAGGGAGAATTAACAGTCAGATCTTAGGAGTCAAGAGGTTAGCTATCTACTCTGTGTTTCTTTGGAAGAAATAGTGAGAGAGTTAAACTGGAGCAGAAGTGTTCCCTCCTGGAGTTAAACATAAATATTGTGGCTCCATCAGCAAGAGTTCATAACAATGGTTTCAAATCAATTGCACTCTTTCAGTCCTCAGTTTTTGTAACAGCAGCACTCACCCTGTCTCTCTGTGCCTCTTCTCGCATGTCAACTTCAACCCCATCCCCTGGTCGACTCTTTTTGGCAGCACCTCCTGATGAATCTGCAGCCTAAGTGATTAAATCCAAACAAATACTTAGTGTATTGTTGTTGTGGCCACAATTAAAATTATGCAAACTATGCCGATCACTTATCAACCTGAAAGTTTGGTTTTATCAGCTGAGTTGATGATGTAGGTTGGCTCGAGTAGAGAGTTTTTAAAGCTGACATTTCAAGGATCAGCTCTTCCTCAGAGTGAAGGGCTGACAAAGGGCTCTGACAAAAAGTTAATGCTCAAAACATCAGTTTAAGAAACTCTTTACAAGAGCCAATTTACATTATCAACTCCATCAATTAAACCAAATATCTTGTTATACCCCCCACCAATGCAATGCTACAGTTTCTATAGAAACTTAGCCCCTTTATTTACCGCTTAACCTGCTTTGTTTCTTCCTTCCACCTTCCTGCAGTCTGAGTAAGTGAGATATTTTGGGGGTGGAACATCTTCCTAAAATATTTATTACCTTTCTCTTTGGTGCAGGCTTAGCATCTGGATTGTAGCCATCAGGAAAAACTATGTCCTTAAACTCTCTTATAGCTTCACCAGCTTTGCGCTCAATGGCTTCTACCTTTGGTTCTACAAAGAAACATTTAATTCATCCATTTATGAAGTATTGATAAGTTAGAAGTGTTTCTTACCCTCTCAATTTAAGAGCTGCACTTTACACACCACCTCCCTGGTGCACTCATTGGTCAGTTAATTGTTACTTAATATTGTATTACTACCTGTCCACCCAGCCCTGGTTTTTCGAAAGTTGGATAACGCAATCCACTGGATAAATCTCTATCTTGTGGATAGCCCAGTACGTTTTGCAGTCCCTTAATTATCTGCTAATTAAATAATGATTTATCCATTAGATAGCATTTTCCACCCTATATACAACTGGGCCCTGGGTTCCAAGTCACCATTCCCCCCTTTCTTCTCAAATGAATTTCTCACACACCATTGCATCCCTTGTAGTTTACATTCACAATTAAAATACGTTTTTAACAGTCTCAGTTAGCTTGGGGTGTACGGGGTTTGGAAAATGTCTGATTCTTACACTCAAAATTTATATAATCTAAATTAAAATGAGTGATTATTTCCTACAGGGTATTCATATGATTTTGAGCACAATTTGTCATCAGTAAGCACAAATGAATTTTTCAAAGAAAACAAAATTGCATGAATGCATAAGGCTAGACTAAGTGCAATTCACAGTCTTTGCAAAATTATTTATAAGTGCATGTTTACACCAAATTGCATGAGAAATCTTATTGTTACTGATTAATAAATAAAACTACATGAAAACCCCATCATAGAAAGTCATGACAGACAAAATTTTGACAATGCAGGTAGTAATTTGCACTTGTGTTACAATTTCGTTCTAGTGTTACATGAAAAATGCACTCATTTTCAGCCAATCAGTTGCACATAATTTTTTCAAGTATGTCAGGTCTTCTCATATGGGAATAAAATTATTATGAGAGTAAAAATGCACCTGTTAAGTCAGTAACCTCTTCAGGTTCATCTCTGTCCAAAGCTAAAGCCTCCAGGTTCTTGTAATGTTTCTGTAGTGCTGTTCACAAGTTAAACCTTTAACACCCAGAGCTTGACACTAATGGTAGCCAACTAGCCATGGACTAGTAGAAATTAAGTTTTGGCTGGTGGTTTTTGATTTCCACTCACCAGTTTGGCTAGTAAACAGACTGAAATTTTTGTAACAGCTGTCACTAGCAACTTGGCTAGTAAGTTGAAAAATTAGTGTTGAGCCCTGAACACCCAAAAATGATTTCTCCCTAATTATAATTAACAATTATTTGCTGAAGGCAAGGCGAATATCGTCAAATAATTCCCTTGACAGAGTAGAGGGGATTAATTATTCGACAATATTCACTGAACCGGAGGTGAATAATTGTTTTAGTATAATTTCAGAGCTGAACAACGGAGAAATTTCTAAAATCATAACATTTTAGTAACATTTATTAACATTTTATTTTAACATTTTATATAAACCGCGTGGAGTGGTTTATATAGCGTCATAGAAGGAACCGCTCAACCAATCAGATTGCTGGAAACTCTTCGCTCAGCTCTGAAATTATACTAATTATTATCTAGCAAACAGGTAATGAGAATACTCAATCTTGTCAGGTAGAAATTGTTACCTGGATTTAACACTGCATTCTTGTACCTAATTTACAAGGAAATGTGTAGCAAGGGAGACTTCACAATCAGGAGATAATGGGTTAAATAAAACTAAATTTACAAAAAAAAAACAAAAAACAGAACATGCAAATTAGAGGAACTTCTGACTGTGACCACTTAGCAAGAAGGCAACCAGTATCAATAATTGTATTATGTTGATGTTGCAACGAGTTGACTTGTTGAAAAGCTCTCTGAGATTGCCTTATACAAAAGACAAATAGAAAAATGTTGTAATTCAAAATTTCTATCATTTACTTCAAAATTGCATGAAGACAATTTGAAAGCTTACAAGGATTCTCAAAACTTGAGCAATCAAAACCCAATGTCAGCTTCTTGATAACTTCTTTAGCTTTATTCACTTGTTCTGTAGTGGCTGAAATGAAAGAAATGGGAAAATACTCAATTTAGGCTGTGTGTTTATTGCACTTCAACTAAAAATACTCATTACAACACATTGAATAGGAATTCTCTAACTCATGAACACTAATCCAAGATTATCTTAGGGTTTAGTCAATATAATTATCATTGATAAAAACTATTAATAACAAAATTCCAGAACATGATTGGTCATCACCAGCCTGATTGAACACTAATAGAACAGCATACATGAGCCATGCTTGTCAGGAGTAATTGGACAGTATATATATATGCCTCATGTGCATGCCCTGTTTCCATGCTTTTCGCTAAGTTAGCTCTTGTTTTTCATTAAAACATATAACCAATTGCTAATTTGTTTTTGAAATTTATCATAGTTTTGATTAATTGGTAACAACTTGAATTTGTCACCCAATTCTTTCTGTAATCATACTCATAATCAACAAATTGAACCCCTGTTTCTCAATTGTTTAATTTTGTGAATCACTTGAATGTATGATCACAGACCAAATTGGACTCCACTTAGTCCTTATTTACAAAACTTTTATTCATACTTACTCCACTGATAAATAACACAGAGAAAATGCGTTTAACAGAGGAAGTGGCCAGGTGTCACAAAAGAGAACCCTTGAAACTCATTATTAATTAATAGAACAATACTGTGTGGTTCAAACCTCAAGTAAACAGCACCCTGCCGCTTGTAAATGTCCTTGAAACTTTTACCTAAAAAAATTCTTAAGAGGGTTTTTTTTTTACTGTCTTTCCATTCTGACAGACCATAATATACCTTTAGGAGTTTCCTCATATTTCAATTTCCTAAGGTCATCAGTGAATGGAAGAAAAATTAGATGAAATCCAGGAGGAGTAGTTTGGTTGTTATGCTCATCAAGTTCTTCTTTCTGTAACATAAGCATATGACAATTGGAGAATCAAGAAACACACTAATCCTCACAGCTTTGCTGCAATTTAAACAATGCAATAAGAAGCCTGAAAAAATTCATGCGTCAACAGGATCTGAACCTGTCTCCCAGATACTAGTTGGACACTACTACCACCTCAGCTATGAAGTCACATGTTAGGAGTAAGATAAATTTTAAGATGATTCTTCTTTCCCATAGAGGAATCGATCACAATTTTACATGGAATACAATGTTATGAATCAAGACTCAGTAGTGAATTTTTTCAGGTCAAATGAAATTTATATCATTTGCAAAGTTGTTTCAAGAATTCATGCCTCACCCACAGATAATTTTCTACTTTGAGAGGTGCATGTATTTTTTGTAGTTAACTGCCATATATAGCATCTTACCTGAGGGAGCAGAGCTACAAATCTTGGAGCAGCATTGTTCCTTGGAATAAACCGGCATATTGGTATCACATCTCTGGCAAGACTTCTGTTAAGAAGTGCAGAGAACAATGTTGTACTCCCAGAAATAATCTGAAAATAGAGAAGAAAACCAAAAACTCTAATCAACATTCTGTGCTTTAATATTTTAGCAAATTAAAATAATTATTTATCATTACAGTAACAACATCTCTGCAGCTAATTAAATCACATGCAAAAAAAGAATATTGTACAACCTTTTCACTGGGATAAAGAAACTGTGCTGGTCTGAGGTGAAAGTAATTCTTCAATGATGACCTTGGTTTGAACCCCATTAACAGAAGACCTGCAAATGTTTGGGAAGGGAAGAAAAAGCACTCAAAGATCATAAATTACCAGCCATTATTACTTAATTCTCTCAATTAAATTATGTGCTCTACAATAAGTCAGTTTAGTAGGCCATTCATTTCACTGTTTGGCTCACTGAATTAAAAAGTTTATTTGAATTGAAGTCTTCCCTGTGATTTGAGCCCAGAGATCTAATTCATAATTTATATCTTTTATTAACCTTGTTTTCTAGGTTCATACTGTCAGTGAGAGAGCCTCCTTTTCCTGCTCTGACCGACAGAACATACGGGCCTTAAATCCCATTGAAAAAACTTGGTCCATAACTTACAAAGTTGACCTCATTTAGTTTAACCTCGTGAGAGGCACTCAATTAATTTGGCCAGTGAAAACAACTTTCTTGTGTATACAGACTGAAAATTCATTTTTAAATTACCTGGGCTGCCAAAGCTTTTCATTTCTGCAACTTCCTCTTTCTCAAAGATCACCTGAAATTAAAGTAATTGGACATCTATTATACTCATTGCAAATAGAAATGTCTAATTGACAATTATAATAATTTCTTAAGGTAATAAACAAAATTCACTTACTTTTTCACCTCCAAACATCTGATAAAGCTTTATATCTGTTGGCAGTAGATCACTGCCCGTATCCTAAAGCAAGGCAAGATCAATTTAAACTGAGGAATACCAGATAAATTTCAACTGCAGATTAGCATTAACAACTGACTCTGTCATTATATAATCCACAGATATAATATATTTCATATATATCAACTACAAGAAAAAGTGCAAACTTTGAAAAAAAAAAAAAGCCTACCACACAAATGTATTTGGTGTGTATTTTCACTTCTTCATTTGTGTGACTGTCCAGGTTAACATAACTGGATTTTGTTGTAGGTCTACAAAGATTATATCTGTAAAAAATAAGTTCAGTTAGAAAGTGTGTTATGATTGGTCAATCAAACAGGCCATAATTCACTGCCTGGCCTGCTAAAGTCAAAAGTTTGTTTGAATTGAAATCGTCCCCCTCTATTTTAGCCCAGAGATAAATCAAATATGCAACTAAACTCGATTTTTCAGTCCATACTATAAGTTACAAAAAGCTGGTTCTTTTTTGCCTGGGTTTATGGCCTGCAGGCGCCACAAGCCTAAGGTGTACAAAACTGGTCCACATCTTATATCATTACATTGTTCACAGTTCCCATGGGCAAGATGAAACAAATCCTGTGTTCTGATTGGCTACCCGTGTGGGCAAGATGGGCCCATCTTACCCATTCGGGATTGCCTGCATTGATCCTGCACATGAAAAAAATAGAATGAGAAGGAAGTTCGTACTTCTTGAAAAATTTTGGCGACAGAAGTGCAAAAAGTGGTAGAAGACAGTCAAAACAAAGGAAACATAAATGACTCCGATGAGTTTGTTGTGCTACAAACACAGTTGGCTTTCTTTCCTAGCTCTCGAAGTAAACAAGTCATTCTTAATTCTTGATAAAGCGAAATCTTTTCGCAGAATAATAAATCCTTCCTTAAACAAGGTTGTCTGGTCAAGATGGCTAGATATTAGCCTCAGCTTGTTCTTTCTTCATCTCATTCCATAACAATGTCAAAAAAGAACTCAGCCAATATCCAGCCATCTTGACCTCACGCTTGATTAATAGGGACCTTAAGCAAACCATGATGGCGACGGCAACGAGGACATGGAAAAACAAAAGATCTAATTGGCAGAACAATATCTCTGCATGTGCATTTTAAAACTTAGTACATTTCTTAACTGTCCTTTGCAAAACAACAACGTGAAATCACCAAAATTTGCATCGTTTGGGAACCAACCCGCGGCGGCAAATTATTTGAATTTCCATTTGGAACTCAACGCTACTTTTATACGTTATTTTGTGGTTGAGTTGTGGCACCGTATGAGATGGTAAACACATGCAGCCATTTTCGAAATTCTAATTAAAAGTAGAAATTCATTTTTTAATCGACATCTTCCTTGGCGTTGCCATCTTCACTGCTTACGGTCCCTAATAATGCTTATGTGCTGACCGCAAACTTGCTTAATGATAGTTATACAAAGTAGCATATAATAAGTAGATGGGCTCTTGAACAATGGGTTTGACTCATTTTTCCTTTATTCCAGATGAACGAGACATGTACTGGTATCTTTCCTTGACATTCAATTTAAACTACATCATATACTTGGTCTCTGTAAAGAACTTTAAGAACAAGGGGAAGTAGACGGTAAGCTTCAGCCACAGCATAACCCAGGAACTTACACAGACACTCCAAGCTCAATTCCATCAGCCAGCATAAATGGAAGAGTTGCTAATGGTCTTTTCTTGTGCTCTTTCTTTTGTACTCTGTTACGAGGAATGAAAAAAAAAACAAATAACAAAAAAAAAAACAGGATTTTTAAACTTTTTGAGCCCTTAGGGTGACCAGCATCTAATTTCTCCTTACAATATCACACCCTAATCAGACAATAAGGTCACAAGAATCAAGCAAATGATCACCAACTAAAGAAGGTTGCGATTCTCCTTGTTAGCACCACAGGAAATGTATGAAGAAAAGAATGGAGACTATGCAAACTGATGTCAGGGTGTAAAGGGTAAAATCAATTTAATTTAATCCAATTTA